CTAACTTGAGCCTCACTGTCCTCATAAAAACTCTTCACTGCTTTCAGTAACCTACCTCCTATACCATACACCTGCAACATCTGCCACATTGCCCCCCTATCCACCCTGTCATACGCCTTTTCCAAATCCATAAATGCCACAAAGACCTCTTTAGCCTTGTCTAAATACTGTTCACTTATATGTTTCACTGTAAACACCTGGTCCACACACCCCCCCCCATACCTTTCCTAAAGCCTCCTTGTTCATCTGCTATCCTATTCTCCATCTTACTCTTAATTCTTTCAATAATAACTCTACCATACACTTTACCAAGTATACTCAACAGACTTATTCCCCTATAATTTTTGCACTCTCTTTTGTCCCCTTTGCCTTTATACAAAGGAACTATGCATGCTCTCTGCCAATCCCTAGGTACCTTACCCTCTTCCATACATTTATTAAATAATTGCACCAACCACTCCAAAACTATATCCCCACCTGCTTTTAACATTTCTATCTTTATCCCATCAATCCTGGCTGCCTTACCCCCTTTAATTTTACCTACTGCCTCACGAACTTCCCCCCCACTCACAACTGGCTCTTCCTCACTCCTACAAGATGTTATTCCTCCTTGCCCTATACACGAAATCACAGCTTCCCTATCTTCATCAACATTTAACAATTCCTCAAAATATTCCCTCCATCTTCCCAATACCTCTAACTCTCCATTTAATAACTCTCCTCTCCTATTTTTAACTGACAAATCCATTTGTTCTCTAGGCTTCCTTAACTTGTTTATCTCACTCCAAAACTTTTTCTTATTTTCAACAAACTTTGTTGATAACATCTCACCCACTCTCTCATTTGCTCTCTTTTTACATTGCTTCACCACTCTCTTAACCTCTCTTTTTCTCCATATGCTTAATATTCATTTATTTTTATCACCCTGCCTAGCTGGGAATCTAAAGCAATGAAAAAATGTACATAGTAGTCTAAAGCAGTCAACTCATTGTCATGGTCCCAGAATTCCCACTAAAATTCATTTAAACATGTTTTTCTATTTTTTTATGCAAACAAAAACAGGACAACCAAAACAATCCATTATATGTGACTTAAAGGTAACAATGAAATTGTTTTATATAAAAATTATTTTTATATGTGTAGCTTTTTTTTTTTTGCCAAATATTTAACATAATATTGTCATTTATGTACCCTTACTGCTGTTTTCCTATATACAGTACCACATATGATTCAGTGAGAGCTATCTAATTAGAGGAAACCGGTACATCTTTAATTTTTGAAGTCGGAAAAGTGTACATCACTAGATGATAAACATACCAAACAATCCTTGCAGTACAACTGTACCCTTTTCTTCAGCAAGTCTGACTACACAATCCAAGTATAACTGGGCTAATTATTAACTCGTTCACTATTATCCTTGGCCATACAAAATTGACTGCTTTTCATTATAAAACAATCAAAAAGATTACCCAGCCATCTTAATGAAACCACTGAATTCAGTGTGGGACCGGACCATGGGGTGGTAACCCCCGAAATCAACTTGTGTAAAGTAAACCTGCTTACACATGTGCGTTTAATACACGTATACAAAAGTCAACAGGTATCCACAGTATATACTGCAAAAGCACAAAAAAATAACAAATGTAAAACATACCTCACAAGCATACAAAAGAGTGAAAAGATTTAAATACTGTATGGTAGATGAATAAAGATGAATAACAAAAAAATATTTTACTTATGCTAAATAAATTTTTGATCAAATTAAAAAAATTATGTCTTTTTTTCTTGTTTTTCATCTTTTAGTGCTAGTTTCCAATAACCTGAATAGTCTGCCTTATCAGCACTATGTAAATACAAAGTCCTATCAAATACAGTAGGGCCCCGCTTTTCGGCGTTTCGCCTTACGGCGTTCCACTAACACGGCAATCTCAAATTATGACCAAAACTTTCTATACGGCAAGTGGCCTTTCAAATATGGCGCAGGCCACCCGGTTTGTTTACATTCTCCATATGCACATCTCTCTATCATGTAATAATCACTCTTGGGCATATTAAATGTCTAATTTTATGTCAATATAGACATTTTCATTAATCCATCTATGATATTTTCTTTAAAATTATATAAGAAACACGTTACATAGCATATAAACATGCTGTTTATATGCTATGGAGGTGTGGTTGCCGGGTGGAGGAAAACATTACTTAATACTAATAATAATCACTCTTGGTCACATTAAATGTCTTTGTTTAAGTTAATACAGATTTTTTTTTTTTTTCAACAAGTCGGCCGTTTCCCACCGAGGCAGGGTGACCCAAAAAAAAGAAAGAAAATCCCCAAAAAGAAAATACTTTCATCATCATTCAACACTTTCACCACACTCGCACATTATCACTGTTTTTGCAGAGGTGCTCAGAATACAACAGTCCAGAAGCATACACATATACAGACACACAACATATCCCTCCAAACTGCCAATACAGATATTTTCATTAATCCATCTATGACATTTTCTTTAAAATTATATAAAAAACACGTTACATTACATATAAACATTTTATGTTTATATGCTATGGAGGTGTGGTAGCTGGGAGGAGGGAAAACATTACGTCACTCCCCTTAATACATAACGCTTTTGTTTACAATTCTCGGCATGAATTATTCATTACTTCTCCCTTTGTTTATGATGGCATCTAAAGGTAGTTGTTAGAAAGGATTAAAGTCAATGAACATGGTATGTCGATGGTAATAACATGGCTCTGGGTCACATTAAATATTGTGTAGCTATGTAGGCAGGGGTAGGTATGTAGCCCAGGCGGACTACATACCTACATTATTATCATAACTGATAATTATATGTATGTGTACCTGTACCTAAGTAAACTTACACACTGTGTTGGCATGCAGGTACACATTAAAATCACTAAGAGTGTCTTATTAGTCTTGAAGACACCATATTAATAATGATAGTAATAATAATAACAATCACCATAAGGAGCATTAAATATTGTATAAAATGTTAATATAGACATTTTGCTTAATCCATCTAAATACACCCCACAGTAGAATAAATTAACAAATATGAGATGCAGTAACCAGGCAACTTGTAGGACTTGTGGTAGCCAGGCAACTTGTAGGACTTGTGGTAGCCAGGTAACTTGTAGGACTTGTGGTAGCTAGGCAACTTGTAGGACTTGTGGTAGCCAGGCAACTTGTAGGACTTGTGGTAGCCAGGTAACTTGTAGGACTTGTGGTAGCTAGGCAACTTGTAGGACTTGTGGTAGCCAGGCAACTTGTAGGACTTGTGGTAGCCAGGTAACTTGTAGGACTTGTGGTAGCCAGGCAACTTGTAGGACTTGTGGTAGCCAGGTAACTTGTAGGACTTGTGGTAGCCAGGCAACTTGTAGGACTTGTAGTAGCCAGGCAACTTGTAGGACTTGTGGTAGCCAGGCAACTTGTAGGACTTGTGGTAGCCAGGCAACTTGTAGGACTTGTGGTAGCCAGGCAACTTATAGGGCTTGTGGTAGCCAGGCAACTTGTAGGGCTTGTGGTAGCCAGGCAACTTGTAGGACTTGTGGTAGCCAGGCAACTTGTAGGACTTGTGGTAGCAAGGCAACTTGTAGGACGTGTGGTAGCCAGGCAACTTGTAGGACTTGTGGTAGCCAGGCAACTTATAGGGCTTGTGGTAGCCAGGCAACTTGTAGGGCTTGTGGTAGCCAGGCAACTTGTAGGGCTTGTGGTAGCCAGGCAACCTGTAGGACTTGTGGTAGCAAGGCAACTTGTAGGACGTGTGACAAAAACTAGACACGTTCATCTGGTTTGTTTACTTACATTATGTATGGGTGGGGTGGGGAGGGCTGCCCTTCCTGGCTACCCATGCTTCCCAACCTGACTTCATACAAATAAAACTCACCTCTCACCCTACATTAAGACTAAAAATATTTTAAGGTAATTAATGAGTGTACTTTATATGCATTTTATCGCTTAATGTCGTAGTAGGTATAAATGGCCAGGCAGGATGCCATACCTCCCACACGACTTTCTACTAATAAATACTACTTTTCACCTCTCACCCTACATTAAGACCATTAAGACTACAAATATTTTAAGGTAAGTAATGCATGTACTGTATATGCATTTTATCGCTCTAGGGAGCTTTAATCATCGTAGTATAGTATGTGTGGGTGGGGTGGCCAGGAGGGCTACCACACCTGACTTCTTAGAGTAAATACTACTCACCTTTTGCCCTACATTAAGACTACAAATATTTTGAGACAAATGATGAGTGCTTATTTTACTTTTTAATGCCTAGTTCTATTGTTAACTTAATACGTGTATGTTAGCGTAAACTTGTTATCTGGCATTTATATGCATTTATAAATGGAAAAAATGGAGTTCTGCTCTCCGGCGAAGTCTGTTTTCCGGCAGTAGCCTGGAACCTAACCTGCCGAATAAGTGGGGCCCTACTGTAAATAAATCCCTCTAGCAGCTATGGGTATATGCTCACTTCATCAATCTCATCACTGGAGTTTCAACTAGTCTCAATCACCAATTTCACCGTAACTGTTAATGAAGTTAACACGTAGAAAGCAACGCTTTCTTTAAAAGCAAAATTAAGTTAGAATTTAGAAGAGTAAATTCTTAAAAAACAATTCAAGAAAATACTGCCTAGCCATCTCTCCAAGCCCTTCAATCACATATTGCATATTTTTTTTTTTATATTTTTGACCTAATTGTGCATACAGTATATAAATAAGAACATAAGAAAGGAGGAACAATGCAGCAGGCCTGTTGGCCCATACTAGGCAGGTCCTTTACAATCCATCCCACTAACAAAACATTTTCCCAACCCAATTTTCAATGCCGCCCAAGAAATAAGCTCTGATAACTCTATCTAAATATGCCTGAATGTTAGTTTTAGTGAAGAAAATCTCAAATTTGTGTAGTGTCAAAACTGGTGGAGTAAGTCAAGTTAATATTCTGGAGAGAGAAACCAACATACCTGAGATACTGAAACCAGAGTGGCGGCGCCCCTGAGGTTGCTGGTTTTTAAGCTTCCTGTATCAATATCACAGATGCCTTCTCAGTGCAATATTATTAAGTTGAATCTTCTACAAATATTATGAATGTTATTTGTCATGAAACTCTGCATGCATACTTTTAGTCTAACATACAGATTTCATACTGTATAAAATAATTTCTCACCGTTACTTTTTAAAATTTTATATTTACTTGCTTCCTTTTGCAGATTGACATACATCTCATTAAATTTTCAATTCAATATTTCACTAAAATGTATTAGCCTTCCCTTTAGCATATAAAAAATTAGGCTATTTAGACACCTTCATTCTCAATTTTCAATTGAAGGGGTATACTGTACAACATATCTTTTCAACTTTTTTTTAAACCATACCCCCGGCCGGGATTGAACCCGCGGTCATAGAGTCTCAAAACTCCAGCCCGTCGCGCTAGCCACTAGACCAGCCAGCCACAATAAGATTCATCCAACTAGGTATATTTCTACACCATAGGAAAGTTAGCACAGGCACCTCTGTGACCACAAATGCAAGTTTTTACAGACGAATCTCCAGCTAGCGTGGCCGTGGCGAACTCTAGCTCAAGTCCCTTCACTGCCGTCAACATGACTTAAGAAATCGTGGCTAGCGCGACAGGCTGGAGTTTTGAGACTATGACCGCGGGTTCAATCCCGGCCGGGGGTATGGTTTATTTGCAATCGTGTCATTACGATTTCTTAAGTCAACTTTTTTTTATTTGTACAATCTCATTATTTACAGTATTTCTGTGATAAGCTTTCCATGATATGTTTTTCCTTTTAAATGTAACAGCTATATTTATGTTTTTTCTGTTAAACTGTATTGTAAATAAAAGAATTTTATCGTATGTCAAACTACTTGGTTGGAGTCACCATAAACACTTCATACCTGTGATTAATACCAGGCAAAGTGTGGAGCTTAGTTATCGACCCTAAAGCACCCAACTGAAGGTCAGGACAGCAATAAAATATACGATGTACACGTGAATGTAACAGAGCCATTGCACACATCATGCATGGTTCATGAGTTATATAGACATCAATTCCAGTACATATATATGTTGTCATGGAGTTCATGCCAATTTCTTCAGCGTTCCGAGTCTTTAAGTCTTCCAAACTATTACTTCTGAATTCTTCAATGCATCCTATATTTTCAACTACTTGTCCCAATTCAATATTTGAGGTACTTGTATAAATATCATTTATCCCACATGGTCCATAGAGAGATTCTTCAATAAGTGGCAAATTATTATGAACCCAGACTCCTCCACCTTGTCTATAAGCTATGTAATCTATGGCCACCATGACAGCATGCTGCAAAGGGTGTATCAGTCTAGAATCCTTTGCAGCACTTACAACTTGTCCACTTTGGTGATCTACCATCACAACACCTACAGCTGGATTTCCCTCTTCATTTGCTTTGTAACCCAATTCTATTGCTTTATTCATGTGTTTGACAATCATATTCACTTTTTCTTGACTGAAGAAATCATCAGAGGAGAGCCGAGTCAGATACGAATCTTCATGAAATGAACAAGGCCAAAGCGGTGCTACTTTGTCATACATCTCACGCACTTTTGGAGCATATCTGGCCACCCTCGAAACAAACACTTTGTTTGAGAATAATGACAAGTCAACTTTCTTTTCATTAAGTATGGCTATAACTCGAGCTGCATCCTCTGAGCTGACAGGCATAATATTATCATCACCAAATTCTTTAAAACAAAGAATACCAAACTCCTCAACAAAACTTAAGTACACAAACATTTTGTCTGGCTTTACAGTCACTAGATCTGACTTTTGACACTCGCTCTCATTTCTCACTGTTGGTATCCTTCTAACTCTCTTCAGATGACTTAAAGATGAAACTGGTAATTTCTGAGAAAGATCCTTAACAGCACGTGAAGTGTACTGTTTCTCTTTCACTTGCAGAACAACTACTTGAGTGAGATTTACTAGTCCATGTACACCTTCTGGAAGGATTGCAGCTACATGAACTTCTGCAGGGTGCAATGGCAACAAAGGGGTTGAGTGTCCATCTTTTTTTTGCCTCTTTATCATGGGTCCAATCTGCAAATAACAAACCCCCTCATGGACTGAGCTTATGAAATCCTCATCTGTAACTACAGAGAGGGGTAAGCATGGCCCTAACAGATGGCTCCACATTTGTGGAGCCTGTAACCAAATAGATGAAACCAGTGATGTTGACAATTATGTCTGGTCTCCTAATGCAGGATGAAATCAGGTTTGAAATTGGCTGCCATTTTTTCTTATAAGACAAGAAAGGTATTAAGAAGTAGAAATTTTAAAAATGTTCCTCCTACTGCAATCTAAATATATCAAGTCTCCCAACTGATAGCATCATAAAGCTAGGAAAATATTAAATAAATAAGAGAACCCAAACCATGCTTATGTCTTACCTAATCACAAGCATAAATGTCATAACTCAATTCTGTCTTTCCATCTAGCAAAAGACTGCAAATGTACCTTTTCAGACTCAAATCAATATTTAAAATAAATAGTAGAAAAACACTTTTGAATGTGTAGATTCAGCATCTTAGTATATGTAGATGGGGTTGTAAAATAACATGTTGCTGGTTAGACAAGGATATTTTCTGTAACATCCACATAATATTACAAGAAAGATTTTAGGATCAAGAAAATTCCTGCTAGAATAAAGGTATTAGAAAAAAATGCCAACAAACAAGTTCATGTATGAGACTGTTCCTATTACATTCCTGTATGCTCTGCAACAATTTTGTGTACTGTATTCAATTTAATTTCTTTAAGACTCAATAACAAGAAACTACGACTGGTAATTTAGTGCTACAAGTTATTAATATAATCTTCTCAGGATCATATTAATAAAAAAAAATTAATCATAGAAAAGGAATTTGCTCAATATATATTTTATTTGTATACATCAACGACTAACCTTCTCCTGCTCATTTTCATCTGTAGCTGAATCAGGGAATTCTGAAAAGTGTATGGTTTGTTCATGCTGGCTGCTGCTACTGCTCACAATAGCTGGTTGTGTCCGAGCTTCACCAAAATCTGTCCGGCAAATTAAAAGTTTAACAGAAAAACGTACAGTATTTCATGAATTTATTCAAAGTCAAATATGAAGCCTGGCTTTAGTACAGGCTTTGGGGGTAGAAGAGCCCTTAAAACAGTTCAAAGGTAAAGCACAAGTATTCATTAGAAATTGGTATAGTATTATCATTCACTTATAGAACGAAATCAGCAAAGTCCTATGTTCATGTAACATGTGACAATATTGTGAGTAGTGATAAAGAGAACTATTATAATGACTGCAACAATTGTCAAATAATATATACAGTACTATTAATAAAACTTGCAAGAATCTATAAATATCTAATGCACTGGGGGCCACACTAAAAACTTAACCGGCAAGCCGAACTTGAGTCCTGGAGATGGGAAGTACAGTGCCTGCACTCTGAAGGAGGGGTGTTAATGTTGCAGTTTAAAAACTGTAGTGTAAAGCACCCTTCTGGCAAGACAGTGATGGTGTGAATGATGGTGAAAGTTTTTCTTTTTCGGGCCACTCTGCCTTGGTGGGAATCGGCCAGCGTGTTAATAAAAAAAAAAAAAAAATTGCTAAACTTGTGGGAGGGTTGTTCACCACCGTGAAACATACAAGTGATAAAAATTACCGTACTCTTGAGAAATACCAGCTAGTGTAAGGCAATTATATTCAATAACTGTACAGCAATGGGAAGAACAATGCCTGCACTTTAAAGGAGGGGTTTGGGATATTGACAGTTTGGAGGGACTTCTGAACTGCAAAGACTGTGATTATGTATGAGTGAGGTGAAAGTGTTGAATGATGATGAAAAGTATTTTCTTTTTGGGGATTTTCATTCTTTTTGGGTCACCCTGCCTCGGTGGGAGATGACCGAAGTATTTAAAAAAAAAAAAAAAAACTGTACAGCACACTATACAATACCAAATAATATTCTGGCCAGTACAGAATATAATTCATCATATGGGAAGTAAAGTGGCTTCAACATTACCAAGGTATTAAATGGCATTACAGAAAACCTAATTTGCTTCGTAATCTCCAATTCTTTGTATATATGCCCTTGAATAGGTGTTTATTGTCTAGTGAATAATTACACAAGTCCAGGACTACTTATGAAAAAAACATACCAACATTAATACAGTGCAACCTCGGTACTCGAACAATTCAGCATTTGAATGCCTTGTTCGGTAAACAAATTGCTTGGTAGTCAACTGTTTGCTCGGCACTCAACCAAACAAGCACAACTTGCCAGAACTTCGCTGTAAACTTTTAACAGCCTTCTGGAACCAATCAAGTTCAACTGCCGAGGCTCCACTGTATTTTATCAATCTTAGAGGAAGAATTTTATTAATACTGTACACAAATCAAAAAATCTGGTCACTGCTTGATCTGAGAAAGTTATCCTAGTATCCCTTAAGTCTCTACATCAAGGCACTCTAACAGGAATAGTAAATAGCGTGACATAAGTTTTCAATGCAGTTAAATATCAGCATTGAAGATTTCAAGCTACCATTATCAGGAGAGGCTTTCACAGGTTCTTGCATGGGAACTAACATCCAATTTCTTTATTAATAAAAATGACAGACTGGCACCAACACAGCTCAAAACCAATTCAAACCTTCAATTAAGGAAGAAATACTTGATTTGAAAGTTTAAAGAATGAGAAGAGGTATTGTTATAGTTATCACACTGAGACCAACATCCTACGATACACTAGCATTTTAAGTTTAAAACCACTCATAAGTTGATTTATATAAGTTACTGCTGTTGAAGATCTGAAGTCATCATACAAGACATACACAAATTACTGCATGATAACCAGAATGAATTAAGGTTGACAACTATGTGGTAATTTTAAATCTTTCAGCATAACTATTACAAAAAGTATATGAAAATTACCAAACACAGAAAAGTAACATGGGCCTTCCTGATATTTGTTAATAGAAACCCTGACAGAAAGATTACCATAAAGTTGGAATGACAGGCAAAATACCAACAATTGGGTGAAACAAAAACAGTAAGGAACAGCCTTTAAAGTATGACATTGCACTTACTTCAATTTTTTAAATCTTTCATAAATCACACACTAACAAAACACTGTTCAGTAAAACACTCACAAAGACACTTAGGGTTCTTGTGCTGAAGAATTAGTTACAGAATAAAATGCAGCAGTGCCTCAACATTTTGTAACAAATACAGTACAATTAAAAACTTATTTACCTTGAAATTGTAGGTCTACTCCAAGGTCATCCGAGTTATTCTGAAAAAAATGTATACATTATATACTGGAATATATACTGTAAGTTTATTTAGGCACAGGTTCACATAAGTACAATAATCATACATAGTAACATATGTGTAAATTACTTAGGATAATCCCAAAAAGACAATGACTTATTTCCATTAGGGTCCTTGAAATATCTTATTTAAACAAGGTCTTTCAGTTCTAAGTCGAAAGCGCTACCATTTGAAACACATGTATTATTTTACAATGTAGTCTTTGGGTGTTGATGTAATTATAATACACATCTCTCTCTCTCTCTCTTAACAACTAAAATTAGTCAAGAATAAGTGAAAGGAAACTTATACTGCCTCATCAACTTCGTAAAATTTATGTCTATTGAGATTCATATTACTGTGCTGTAAAAACAGCCATGACACACATAGCAAGGAAACGTCTGAGGATACTGAAATAAAAACTAAATAAGTACAATACAGTTCAAGAAAAACTGATGACGTTGATAAGGATGAACACATCATCCTCATCGAATTTTTAAGTGTCATTTAAACAAAACGAAAACAGGAATATACAAAAAGAGTTCCTCCTTAGCATCCATAATGGTGTTTTAAATCTATGAAAAAGTTAAAAGAGGTTTAAGGTAGAGAGTGTCACCTGTAAGTCGAGGACAGCAAAGTCCCTGGAGCCCGCCATGATGCTACTGCTGACGCTGTCAACAAATGTTCACTACCATCAATTACTTATACGGCATCACTATTATGATAATAATTATAATAACAATAATAATAATAAAAATAATGGAAATAAGTCACTCTGACTTTTTTGGGTTATACTGGGTAATCTACACTTATGCTGCTGAGGGCCCGGGTTCGATTCCCGGCGGGGTAGAAACATTTCGCCGCGTTTCCTTACACCTGTCGTCCTGTTCACTTTCAAATTCAAATTCAAAGTTTATTCTCTATAAGGATTACAATGCTGAGTTTACAGAAATTTGGTTATTGTGTGGTTTACATGTGGTAAAATAGTGATTACAGAGTGTACCACTAGAACGCTTAGCATGGCTAGGCATTTCGGGCAGACTTAGTTTTATTCTTAATTGTAAAATATTACAAATTATGAGGTAAGTTGATATTATGGCTAAGTGACTAAATACTAGTTTGTGAGTTTAGCAATGTAAATGCTTTTGTTTTGGCACAGTACATAGTTTCAGTATTGGAGTATCACAGGATTCATTATTTTAAGATTGAGATTAATATTTCTGTTTATGGTCAAATGAGTCAGTGAGTGTAAGTGTGAACCACCAGGTGGTATTCGTGTAGTTGACAGGGTGTATCAGGGAGATAAGATGTTTTCTAATGGTAGTTTTTGAAGGTGATGAATGTGTCTGCAGTTCTAGAGTTCTCAGGTAGGGTATCCAATTTTAGGACCTTGACAACTTTGAATTTTTGTAAAGGTTTAGTCGGACACAGGGAATGTCGTAGAGATGTTTGTGTCTGTGTTTATGCCTGTGGGTTCTGTCACAACTATCAAGAAAGCGTTTTAGGTCAAGGTTGATATTAGAGTTTAAGGTCCTGTAGATGTAGATTGCCACAGTAGTAAGTGTGGATGTACTGAACAGGGAGTAAGTTAGGTCTATGAAGAGTGGGGGGGGGTGTTGCCAGGAATGGGAAATTTTGTGATTATTCTTACTGCAGCTTTTTGTTGGGTTATTATTGGCTTTAGGTGTGTTTTTTTAGGTAAGACACTATGAAAAAGTTAGACAACTTTTTCCGAAACGTTTCGCCTACACAGTAGGGTTCTTCAGTCGAATACAGAAAGTAGGCAGGAACAGTAGAGATGTGAAGACGATGTAATCAGTCCATCACCCTTAAAGTCGTAGAATTTGAGGTTGTCAGTCCCTCGCCTGGGGAAGTTCAGTTCCATAGTCAAGAACTATAGTTCTTGACTATGGAACTGAACTTCTCCAGGCCGAGGGACTGACAACCTCAAATTCTACGACTTTAAGGGTGATGGACTGATTACATCGTCTTCACATCTCTACTGTTCCTGCCTACTTTCTGTATTCGACTGAAGAAGCCTACTGTGTAGGCGAAACGTTTCGGAATAAAGTTGTCTAACTGTTGCATATGTGTCTTACCTAACAACCTGTCGGTATTGTATACCATTTTGATGTTCATTTAGGTGTGTTGCTGCAGTTGATCCCCAAGCACAAATAGCATAGGTGAGGTATGGATAAATAAGTGAGTGGTATAGTGTGAGAAGGGCATTTTGCGGCACGTAGTATCGTATCTTGGAGAGGATCCCAACCGTTTTGGATACTTTTTTGGTTATATGCTGGATATGGGTGCTGAAATTCAGGTTGTTGTCAAGGTATAAGCCTAGGAATTTGCCCCCATTATTTCTGGTAATTAGAGTGTTGTCAATCTTAATGTTAATTTGTGCATCTCCTGCTCTGCTACCAAACATAATATAGTAGGTTTTGTCAGTGTTAAGCGTAAGTTTATTGGCTGTCATCCAAGTCGATATTTTGATCAGCTCCTCATTCACAGTGGTGTTGAGGGTGGCAAGATTAGGGTGAGAGATGACATAAGTCGTGTCGTCAGCAAAGAGAATGGGTTTCAGGTGTTGGGATACGTTTGGAAAGATAAGATAAGATAAGATTTTGTTCGGATTTTTAACCCCGGAGGGTTAGCCACCCAGGATAACCCAAGAAAGTCAGTGCGTCATCGAGGACTGTCATTGATGTATATGAGGAAGAGCAGGGGACCAAGGACACTTCCCTGCGGAACTCCAGTATCAAGTGGCCGTGTTGCTGATGCTGTGTCTTTAATGGTAAGTAAGTAAGTAAGTAAATTTATTCAGGTATACACAATACAGTTACATAGAATTATCATACATAGCAGCTTGTTAGAAAAACCTAGGAAAACCCCAAAAAAAAGTCAGACAGAGTGACTTATTTCCATTGGGGTCCTTTTACCTTATTATTATAATATAAAGGTTATAATATTTTCTTATTATTCTATAATGAAGATAACATCTTATTATCATACTAAAAAGACTATCTACTACACGAGGGTCATTAAGACTTCTACAATACGAGGTTCATTAAGACTATCTACTATCCGAGGGTCATTAGGGGACTATCTACAATACGGGGTCATTACTAGGGATAAGGTAAAAATTTACACGTATTTTAGCTAAAAAATAGAAAATCATTCCCCCTCCCCTTTCTGTTGCTTCATTCATCAGACACTTTTTGCAGTCTTCTTAAAACTGGTTCAAGTATGACTGGCCTTGACATTTGTGGGTAGTCTGTTCCATTCCTTTATTGTGTACAATAAAAGGTGTTTGAAGCCTGGCCACTGACTGTGGGTACTACAAAGTTGTGCTCTCTCCCCTAGTACTATGATTGCTTTTGGTTCCCAACCTTGACAAAATTGACAGCAGATATTCTGGACACTGTTCGTGAGCAATTTTATAAACCATGATTTAGCTTCAGTTGTTTTACTCTGTCTTCAACATTCAGCATATCCAACTGCTGTAATTCATCCTGGCCTACATGTTCTCTTGGTCCCAGCCCCAGGATGAATCTTACGATTTTGTTCTGGGTGATTTGCAGTCAAATCTTTCAGTTTTTTTGTCAAGGCAGAGTACCAAGAAGAGCAAGCGTAATCCATATGGCATTGTATAAGGGCTTTGACATAGGGCCTGCGAGCCTCAGTAGGTAGACACTGTGCTTGTCTATACAGGAACTTCAGCCTGGCATTCGCTTTCTTTACTACACTGTTCCCAATCAATTCTCCTGACATGCATGGGTCAAAGGGGATTCCCAGATATTTAACTGATGAAACCAAAGTGATGGACTCCCCATTACACTGAACTTAAAATTTTTTTACCCTTCTCAGTTTATGTTTCGTTCCAAAGAGAATGGCTTCAGTTTTCCCTAGGTGTAATGATAGTTTGTTGTCTACTACTGGTGACATACTGATACCTATTAGTAATGTAAGATTTGAAATAAGCAAGCGCATGGCCTCTTATACCGTAATGATCAAGTTTGTCGAGTAGGATGTCGTGGTCTACTGTGTCAAAAGCTTTTCTTAGGTCAATAAAAATTCCTAGTGGATATTCCTTATTTTCCAATGCTGTGTAAAGCAGATCTAGCATTTTTATGATTGCATCATTAGTGCTTTTATTTTTCCTGAATCCAAATTGGCAGGGGTTGAGTATGTTTTGAGCCGTTATAAATGAATACAGTCTCCTGTGCACGAGTTTCTCAAAGATTTTGGATAGCAATGGTAAGTTAATATTGGCCTATAGTTGTTTAAGTCTTAGGGTCACCACCTTTATGTATTGGTGTAACCCTTGCCATCTTGAGTAGTTTCGGGAAGGTGCTAGTCTCTAGTGACTTGTTAAAGAGTAATGAAATAGCATGCGAAAGGACATGGGCCGCTCGCTTGTACAGTAATGGTGGGAAACATAAAGACAGTTTTCCCCGATTAAATTTTAATGATTTTAATAATCTGGTGATTTCCCCGGGGGCCTCATTTTTGGTGAAAAATAGAAGGAATTGGGGAAAATTTCCCATCAAAGGTGTCCCCGGCATGGGCTTGGTTTTGGGGGGTTTTTAAAACTGGCGGGGATTAGTCCTAAGGGTTGAAAAGAAGTCTTTATTTTGGGTTAGCTGGGGCCCAGTGGGATGTAGGGGTTTGTTTCATTAGGTTTATTTTAGGACAATATTTTTGGGTTTTTCCCTTCAGTTGTGGATCCCAAAGAATCTGAAAAGGGTTTTTTCCCCAGGTTTTTTTTAAATATCTCCCCCTAGTGTCGGGTGAATCTACTGGAGTAGTATGGGTTTTTTGGGCTTTCTTTATTACTTTGGGAAGCTGTTTACCGGGTTTTTTTCCCCTGGAAAGTTTGGGGGGCCCAACGCCCCCGCGGACCCGGCCCCCTTGTGACCAGGGGGGCTCCTGGGGGATCAGCCCCCTGATAAAACCAGGCTTTGCTGCTCCCCCTGCACGAAAACCCAAAACGTACGAGCCACAGCCCGGCTGATCGGGAACTGATTTTGGGGTGTTTTGTCCAGGGGCCCCAGCTTGAAGACTCCCCGGGGTCTTTTTTGGTAAATCCCCCTTATTTGTGTTTGGAAGGCAGTTAAACAGTCTCGGGCCCCTGACATTTAAATTTGTATGGTCTCTTAACGTGCAAAAGTGACCCCCCCTGCTTTTAAATTGGGGGGGATGGTGCATCGCCCGGGCCAAGTCTTTTGCTTTCGTAGGGGAGTGTTTTTTCGTGTGCAAGTTCGGTACTATTCCCTCTGGGTTTTTCCAGGTGAAATAAAAATCTTTGTATCTCTCCCCCTTTTTTCCCCGGGGAAAAACAGGTTTAGAAATCCCAAGCGCTCCCATAATTTGAGGTTTTTTTAAATCTCCTTTTATACCGCCGTGAAGTTCTCTGTACTTTTTCCCTGGGGTGGGAAAATTTTTCCCCCTCCCTTTTGAAAGGTGGTTAAAAGTGCAGCAATATTCCACCCCTAAAATAGAACAAGTGCCCCCTGAAGAGTGTCATCTTTTGGGCTTGGCCTCCCTAGTTTTTAAAATTTTCCCTTAAACCATCCTGTCATTTTTTTTTGCAGATGTGATTGATACAAAGTTATGGTCCTTGAAGGGAGATCCTCCGACATAATCACTCCCAGGCCCTTTTACGTTGGTTTTTTCGCTTCCCATTTTTTTGGCCAAATTTGTTTTTTTACCTGATAAGAAATTTAAAATTTCCCCCATGTTTACCATTTTCTGAGTAATTTTAAAAATT